TTCAACAGTCTTTTCGTTGTCTGTCACTATTTCCGAGATGAGGTATCGTACCTATTTACACTATGTACATTGTAACAACGAAAATAGTATAAATATTCTTTTTGTTGTTTTTAACAAATGATTGCCAGTCTTAGATGGTAATCACCATCATCATCATCAGTCCCATGATCGCGTGTGGTCGGAGAGGGTCGCTGCGCAAATTGGTTGAAAGCCGGATAAATATTCATTTTGCATTGCATGTCTTAGCGCAAGCAGACCTAGAAGAGTGTAATCCTATCAAAATCAACTCAGCCAACTTGAAGGCTCGCTTTGGTCACAAACTCATGGCCGTTGATTCCATCGGGGAAACCAAATGCCCTGGCCTTTTACTTCAGTCTAGGAAAACTTCCGCCTCGCAATTCCATGTTAACATCGCACTGGCTGCATCTATAGCTATGAAGCCCAGTCTGACCTTTGACCCTGCGGGAAAGCTCATCCTCGCTGTGACAGACCATGAAAATCATGATGGAGGAACTGTTTTAATCCTCGATGACCTGACCTCGCAGAAGGCAGTAATAGGTTACATGACACGAATAGCAATAGTAGAGTGACCTGACATAAAAAGCGAATCTTAATCTAATTCTTATCAAATCTCCAATAATCATCTGATGACACTGGAATTTCGTTAGTATCAATATTGCAATGTTTAGCTCAGTACAAGTCTAAATGAAAATAAACGATAAACAGGAAAATTGTGCGAGACCATTCTTTGAAATTCAGCATTCAAAGGAGCCTTTATCGGGGGAAGAGCACCGAACAGCGGACCATTTGTGCCAAGTCATGTTATCACCTGGAAAAAATTTCGGATTTTAGAGGTTTTCGGATTTTGGAATTTCGTAAAAAGGATACTGAACCTGTACGAAAGAGCTGCTCGGCCCGGAGGCTAGGATCAAAGTGTAGTACGCTGCCTTTGTGAGCTTCCGAGTCGGCGTCTGTCGAACTCTCTGCATTAGCAGGAAGGAACCCGGACGAAGCTTTGCCGAAGGGCAAGGTTTCGTCCTGGGAGGTAGACAGGGCCTGAACCCGTCTAGGCGGGTTCAAAAAGGCTATATTTTTGGCCGAGCCTACGGGCTCGGGGATACCCACATTAAACCGGCCTTGTGCCACATTCTATCCTCGTGGGTGGATCGATAAATACTGAACCTGTACGAAAGAAAAGCATGAAATTTAACTTTGACTTGAATTCCATTCCGTCAGTGGTCATCTTAAGAGCCTTTTTTCCCGTTTAATGTCAAAATGTTTCATGGGAGAGAGAGAAAAGGATAGAAAGCGTGAAAGAGAAACGGTGAAAAGAGAAGAGAATGCCGTTAGGAAGGAAATACAAGTGAATGAAATACAAGAGAGAAAGGATTGTAGAGAAAAATAGAGAGAGGTGGAGAGAAATGGAGAAAGAACAAGAGAGAGAGTCGCTAAAGGAGACAAAACCTTCTTTTTTTTTCGTTATTCCTGTCTTCCAACAGATTTCCAAAAAGCAAATAAATAAAAGATCTTTGAAGAAAAACGTCTATTCCCCAAACGCCTGTAAATTGTGTTATTTGCTCATAGAATCCTAGCCTACCTGAAATTAATTAATGGAGAGCTCAGGTGTAAAGTAACATCAGCCTAACAAGCCGGAATTTGAAATAACTAAATAAGCTTCTCTCAATAAATCTCTTCGTAAAATTTTAGTCAAGTAGATTCTTCTTCTATGTGCCGTTTCCTCTCAAGACGATCATGGCTCTCCACAATTGCCCTGTCTTTTGTTGCTCTTAATAAATTTTCTCTTTCTGTTATCTCTCCTAAACCTTGTTCTACCATCCATTTGCTCAAGCTCACTAAGTGGGCTATACATTCTTTTCCTCACCCCCATTACCTTCAATCTCTCCTGTGAGTATCAAATTTTCCAGGCCATCTTTCCTCATTATGTGCCCTAGAAATTTCAACTGTCGCTTTTTGATGTTAAGCACAGGTGTCCTTTTTGTTTCCAATTTCTCAAAAACTTAGTCGTTGCTCAAATGCTCGGCCCATGGTATTCTCAGCATCCTTCTGTAGAACCACATTCCTGTTGCTTCAATTCTCTTCTATATATGTGAGGAAATTGTCCAGCATCCAATGTCATATAGGAGGACTGATATTACGTAATAGTTTAGTAACATTTTTGTTTATAACGAAATTTTCCTGTTTCGTAATACTTTACTTAGCTTTAGGAAGGCATCTTTCGCTATCCCACCTTCGGATAACAGTATCTCACATTCCGTTCTCCGTTACACTTCAAAAATATTTAAATTGTACTTGTCTGATTTTGTCATCTCCAATTTGTAATTTGCATTTTGGTCTATCCCTTTTACTAACAACAAAGCAATCTGTCTTCTTGTAATTGATTAAAGTCCGTTATTAATGATAATACATTTAATGCAAGACAAAGCCCAATATGAATTTTCAAAGCTGACGGAAATGTAAGCATTCCTAACATCGAAGTATATCGAACCATCATCAGCATATCCTTCAATTCTCTCTTTGACGCAATGTCACAGTCTTATCCCCCTAATTTACATTTGGTGCAACATTCTTATCCATTCAGCTTTGTACATATCTATATCTATATATCTACATATCAATAATCCAACATCTAATAAATAAACGTAAAAAGAACAAATCAATAATTATTTTACTACGACATTGTCCAGGAACTAATTTTATCGAAATAAAAGGCTAAAATGGATGGTACGTTATTTTATTGGTACAGTTCAGGGTTGGCCCAACTTGCTTAATGTAAGACCTACTTACAATAAAGTTCAGATGGTTGAGAGCCGCAAGACATGAACAAAATGTACACATACGTTTTTGTTACATATATATTTTGTAACAAAATTTTTCTATAAATATTAAGAAATGCATGTATGCAATAATATTTATCCATGCATGCAGTTTTTTAAACCATTAATTTGTATTGATTCCAGTAATACTAAAGTACTCATATAAAGGATGTTTCATTACGACGTATTATATATATAAGGGTGTTTCATTAAGACGGATCAAAGTCAGCAGTAAATAAATCAGTGTTATTGGCAAAAATGTATTTATTTCTCTATTGGATCATGTTATTTAAGTCATCGTAATTATGTGTGAAAAATAATATCGTCAAAATGTCCGCTAAATGTGAAAGAAAAAAAAAATCATTAGAAGCTTAAACTTAATTCAGATTAAAATCAAAGTTGTTGGAACACCCATTATTTACCAAATGCTTGATTGATGATTGTTTTAACGAGTTCAGCCAACATATTTCCACGAGCAACATATTTACGGTCAAAGAGACGCGGTTTGGCCACACCTGGTATAGATTATTAAAATTCCTCAAGGGAATAATTATGCATTAATTTAATATCAAAAGCTATTTACCTACTATATGTTTTTACGTGGGAATATTTTCCTTGAATGAGAAATGCTATCTTTGACTTTATTTTTTGTCCTTTCAGGTTTGACAAGTCAACTTTACATAGCTTATGACAGGACATGAGTGATAGCACATCTGCATGCCAAATTTGGTAGAAATCCATCCAGTATTTTCTGAGTCGACAGCGGACAAACTGACACCTGACTCCTGCTATGTTCGGTCTTTACAAGAGTATTTTTACCATATCTGAACAGGTCCTGCCTTTCTTTCCAATCTTGCCAGAATTCAAAAATGCCTGCGCAACCTTTGACCTCTTTCCCACGAACAAAATCTCTCGCTACTCTATTGCTATTTCCGTGGAAAATGCTTTGATGAGTTACATTCTTTAGTTGCACCAGTTCAGAACCGCCATGTCACGTACACAGGGTCGAATTATCCCCATTCCCTTCGTATTCCACTAGTAAGAAGGAAGTTCTATTGAGAAAGCTTCTTCCCAAGAACGAACTCCCCAGAGGGTGCTTCTCCAATCAATAAAATTGTTGTATATTGCTACTGGGATCAAATATGGTGACAATCACATATAAATAAAAAATATAGAAATATATTTATGGTTCGAGTTACAGCCAATGGGCAGAGTGAAGGAGAATCACAGAGGTTAGGATTGCACACACAGGAATTGACGGCGACAAATCTTTGGTGAATCTCTACCTAGCCTCTCTGTCCAGATCTAGAATTAAACCGGTTATATAATATTTGGACGCATACACAATTCATGTGGCTACGTATTCTTACAGTACGTCGCTTACGCAGCTTCGTGCAACCACGCCTCTCTCGACATGTGCCCATGCAAGCATGCATTTTCTTCCGCTCAGGTTACTTGTGCATCCTGTTTATTCAAGTTTCGGGACACCTGTACATCCTGTTTATTTTAGCCACCGGATGCATTTCCTGTTTATATTATCACCAGTTCCGATTTCCGCTCACACTCTGATGCTGCAGAAGTAAGGCCAAAGGTCTTCCTCAACCGATATACAACCAAATCTTAACCTCTTCAGATCTAGTGTCAACCGTTTTCTTTTCTGTATATCCCTATAAAGTACACTTCTTACCTCCGTCAGTAACTCTCTACCTTGAGTGGTTCATGTGCTTTGTATTGGGGTGAAAATAGTTTCATTTTTAGTGATAAATTATTTGTTATAATTGTTTTAAGACTATTTGTTTATTTTCATATTCTGGAGACATAGTAAGAATAACATGAACTAAACATGTGAACAACGAGGATGTATTAAAGAAACGGACACTTATACTCAAAATCAGAAGGTTGACATTTCTGTGGCACATAACGAGGAAAGAGAGCATGGAGAATTTGATACTCACAGGACATATTGAATGCAAGTGGTGCAGAAAATAACTGAGTAATGTACCAAATGAGTTTGCGTTAATGTATGGCAGAGGAGGTGGATGGTAAAGAATCAAACGTCACCTAGAGCTCTCCCCAGTTTCCTGTTTCTTGAAACAGGACGTTGGGGAGAGCCACGATCGTTCAAAACAAGGTGGGGCGTGACATTTAGTCATTTAGCGAAAGAGT